TTTTTCGGAAATTTGAATATTTTAAAATTAATGAACTGCGTTTCCTAAAAGAATCATTTATTCACACCGGCGTTCGCTATATATACACTATCTACAAAATAAAAAACTAAACGCTTCCAAAATCGAAGTACATGAATCAAGTACACAATGATATTTACGTGGCTAAATACAGCTTTCTATTGGACACTGAAGGTATCGGCCACAAGATAGTTCATCTATCGCCGAATAGGACATGCTCTATTCGTAAAATACGGTAGGAATTTGCAAGGCCATAAGTTGTTATGAAATCAAATTCCGACGTTGCTAAGGCAATGGTTTTACTTAGAAAGTATGATGAGTAGATCGCCGTTGTGAATGCGTGAAATCTGGCAGGCAAGATCGCAAATTATGTCGGGCAAGATCGTAAATTATGATTTATCATGTCGTTTCTAGGGTAACAAACGAACAAAAACTGTCCAGCATGAAAACTGGCGTCGTGTGCACCGGACTTATTATTTATAAGAATTATATTAACTGAATTGCAAAGTTGAAATTATTTGTTCAAAGTATATTAGAACTTTAGTCAGTCAAAGATAAAATCTGAATTATTTTCTATATACAAAAAAAAATTATTTTTTGAAAAAAAATTGAAAAAAAAAGTTGAAATTTTTTTTTCCAAAATCAATTATTTTATTAAGACAAGCAGAAAGTTTTTTGAATCATTTAAATCGGACGCTTAGTTCCCTCAAAAGTTGCCATTTTTTGCACATTTGGCTCCATATCTTCGAAATGGCTGGGCCTGTCTTTGCAAAGACTAATCAGCACATCTCCCTATCAATTTGAATCGAATGTTTTTGAACCATTTAAATCGGTTGATACGTGCGCCCGAAAACGTGAACAAAAAAATGAGGAAACACAAAACACACACACACACTTACTGTTAAGTACTGTGTGTACCCTTATAAGCATTAGTGTATTTTAGACCTATAAAATATGAATTGTGAAATTCACAGTATAAGGTAAGGGGCCCAGTTTCTGACCTTTTTAGAGTGACGGTGGAGGTTAAACTATAATAATTAATATAAAACTTAACTTAATGAAGAAAATTATAATTTTATCTATTAGTTTAGGATTTTTAAAATAAAGTAATGTGCATAAAAAAATTATTGAACTAAATTTATATTTTAAATTGACGTTTTAAAAATTGACATTAAGAGCTCCAGTTTCTGACCCTCAGAATTCTTCGTGTGGCAGTTTCTGACCCTGACCGTAGCCAAATTTCTGACCCTCAAATTAATCATGATTAGGTTATGAAGTGCTTACTAATTTTAAATAAACTGAAATTATTATTAAAATAAATAAATTAAATATTTATTCTAAAATATACAGTTTGTTAAAATTTAACGTATAAATAGTTCAAGTCTTGTTATAACATATTACACAAACAAAAAAATTAAAATTAATTATTTAAATTACTTGGACTTTTTTTATATTTTGAGAGCTTTTTGTTTCTTTTTTTCTTCAAGTTTTTCTTTTTTAATTATTTTTTCTGCCTCCTTGATGGCTTTATTTTTGGACCTTTCAGCTTTTTTCAATTCTTTTTCTTCTTCTAATTTTCGTTTCTTTGCTTCTTTGTCGTCATGATATTTTAACCACGAATCAGATGTATAAACTGTCGGTACCTTTTCCTTAGCTTTTCGTTTCTTCAAATCTTTATCTTTCAAAGGCCAAAACAAAGCTCGCTTAAAAGGAGAAGGAACATTCGGAGATGCTGTTTTTGCACTAGGTGATGATGTTTTATTGGAGGGGTCAGGATTGTCAGATGAACTTGGACTTTTAGAATTCTTGTTTTTCAAGTTCATTCTCAGACAAAATCTGAACTTGCGAACTTGCTTGTTCTTCATCCTGACTGTTATAATCAGTATCCATTCTATTATCATCGACAGAGACTAAATTTCCATCATCATCTACTGCAAAAATTATAACTTCTTTAGATGGCTGTGCGTCTAAAATAAATTTATGATTATTTTCTTCTGTCTCTTCACCCTCTAACTCTTTTTCTTCCATCTAAATAAAAAAAATTGCAAAATTATGTTACAAAAATTGAATTAATTTATAGAAGTCCTCAGTAAAAATATTCTATACTATTATAAATAATAATTATAAAAGTCATTTAACAAAAAATTTCGTTAGTTAAAAAAAACGTTGATTAGCTGTAAAAATAATGATACATATTTTGTTATAAAATTTTTCAAAAAATATTTTTATAAAATTAATTGAATTACTTGTATGTTATCCTGATGTTCTTCATTATCGCTTAATTGTACACTGCTTATAGTCGTAGGAAGATGAGATGATGACAATTTTTTTATTTTTTGCCAAAACAAAAATAAACTGGCATGCTCTTGATTACCTTTCCAATAAGCAAATTTTTCTTGACTCCTAAATTCCTCTAGCAAATTATCGTCGATATTATTTTCTATGAATGTCAAATTATCAATAATTTTAGAGGAATCAATTGAAGACACCGTTTCAGCAGTCTTATCTATTTCAGATGACTCAAAATATTTTTTATAATTTATCGCATCAGGACAAAAAGGTTGTAAACCAGTTGATTTAAAACCATTTTTTAATATTTCACTAGTATTCAGCGTATTCAAAGATTTGTCGAGAAGAGGAGCAAAGTTTTCACGTTTTAGAGATTCTCCATTATGCTCCATTCTCCAGTCTCGAACCTCATGGCTCCAAGCAGCTTTCAAAGGACGAAACATGGCGACATCCATCGGTTGAAGAATATGCGTTGCATTGGGGTATAAAGCGATTAATTCTATTTTATTTTCACGGCAGAATTTTGTGAGTGGGTATGACAGATGAGAAGCGTGGCCGTCCAGATACAAAATGACTGGGAATTTGATGTTATTTGTTACTAACCAAGGATGAAATACATTAGTAACATACTCAAAAAACGTTTCTGCTGTCATCCATCCACTATCTGAGCATCCAATCGCCCAATCTTTAGGCATGCTGGAGACAATATGACGTGGAACTCTTTTTTATGGGAATAGTACCATCGGTGGAAGCATTTGTCCGGCTGCATTTCCACAAATTAAAGTATTTAAGCATTCTTTTTCGTCATTTCCAACGATGTTATAAACAGTCTTATCACCTTTTGTCGCAAGAACGGAATTACACTTTGGATTAAGCCTGAAGGCTGATTCATCAAGATTAAGTATTCGAGAATCATCAATATTTAAAAGATACAGCGGTTCAAGATGTTCTTTTACTTCTTGAAACCAGGCTTTTACCTTTTCCTCCGACACTGCAGCTCGGCTATATGTGAGATTTTGAGCAATTCTCTCACTGATTCCTGGATGACGACGACGAAAACTGTTATACCAATGGCGACCAGGCATATTATTTGGGAAGATTGTCTCTTTTTTCGTAGTGTTCAATAACATGCGAACACTATTCATTAGTTGTACCTTCGTTATAGGAAATCCATGTTTTTTCATGTAAATAATCCACTCAACAAGATAATTTTCGTTATCTTGTCCTAACACACAGTCTGGTCCGGGTTTGGTGATAGTTGGCGATGATTGTCCACGGCTTTTATAAAGTAGCGTTGTCTTGGGAATATTAAACTTTGCTGCAGCTGTTCGTACAGGCATGTCTGCCTTCACTTGGGCCATCGCCTGCTCTAACTGTTTTTCATCGTACCTTGCTGTTTTTTTCTTCGAACTCCTAAATAAAAAAGAATAAAATTAATTGTATAATAATAAAAATATTAGTAAACTAAAACAGACATAATTTAAGCGTTGATAAAACTGACATTTTTTTATTAATAATTTTATCACTTAAAAGATGTATTTACAAGATTTAAATACAATCTTTCATTTATACCAATGAATATTAAATGTAAATTTATCACTTTACTACGAAAAATAGTAAAAAAATATAAGATAACAATAAATATTATTATTTTTACATTTAATGAACAAGTGACTAAAAACATGTGACAGATAACCTAGCTTTTAGAAGGTTAGAATTGCAGGGTCAACAACTGTGACATACACTTAAAATTGAACCTAGTTATTGACCCTCATTTCAGTAATAAAACTAAATTTAATATGTTTTATAAATATTTTAAAATAAATTTTAATTAATTATTGACTTATTTGTATATTTTTAGTTAGATTTTCGTACTTACATCATAATTAGTGCACGAACTCAATTGTCGTAGCTCCTTACATAAACTGTTTAGACTAAAGCTAAAAAATGGCTTCCACAGTCACTTTTGGTTTAAAAAAATTTTTTTATTTAGTTAATATTTTTTATATTTTTTTAATTGACATTAATGAGGCATAGAATAAATTACTGTCGATTAAGAAAAAAATTATTTTCACATTAAATGTATAGTTTTTTAATTAATTCCAAAAAAAGTTGAAAAGGTCAGAAACTGGGCCAGGGTCAATAACTGGGTCTTTTACCTTATATTTATAATAATCTATTTGAATATGCACGAAATTACTATTAATCATAAAATAGGTGAAAATCTGGCGCAAAATTCTTGCTCGCCAGAAATCCTGTTACGACAGAAATCATGTTACAAGGTTGGCAACAAAAGTGGCAACTTTGCCTTAAAGCAAGATGCTTGATTTTTTCAACATGTGTAAATAAATGACTTAACTATAAAAATATTGCAATGTGAAAAGCTATCGCAGATTATTCAATTTTGTACACGTTTTCTAAACATGTTAGTTATTTTTTATACATGGTTTAAAAATTAAATATTATTGAAAAGGAAATAAACGAGTAGTATGTTCATTAACAACGGGATTCAAAATCGCAAAAAAAATGTTAATCAGTAACTGAGAAACGACTCGACCGATCATTGACAAAAACTAAACAGCACGATTCTCAAATAGTACCTTTGTAATAGTTTTTTGAATATTCAAAATCGATTCACGAATTTAGTCTATAACGTGGACGAAAAATGTGACACTTTTTTGACAATTCTAAACAAAACGGCTCGCTCGATCGTGAGTCAAGATTATCCAGCACGAGTGCTTATCGAATTTCATCAAATTTTCAAAAAAGATTGCGCATTTCTAAGAAAACGTCGATGAAATTTTGCCTCACGTAAAAAAGTGCTGCTCAGGATCATTTGCTCATTTCAATTGTAAAAATTTTCTCGTCGGAAAGCATAATGTTCGGAAATTTACCACTTTCGGCCAGGAGCGATTCGTTTCTGGACCTTCTAATAGGTCATAGTCAAAGCAAAAGGTGGTCATATCAAGCAAAAGTGAATTGTTTTTAAATTTTGGAAAGGTCTAACGCAGAATTTCCATTTACTTCAAACCAAGAAATAATATCAAAAGTGATTGCAAGTAAAAAGTGAAAATTTATTTGCGTGCAAAAGTGAAGTATATTAATTAATTGATTTAAAAGTGAAAAATATTGTGTGTGAAAAGTGCGAAGAGAAATTTTCCGAAGAACCCTGAACTGGTGAGTGAAAATTTTTAATTGATTGTAAAATTGCCAATTCTCCCTCTTATCCTTCAATCGCTGGAGATAAGCAAGCAATTTTTACATTTAAAAACTAGAATTATATCTAGTATAATTATAATTATACTAGAACCTGATCAGAATGTTAACGATATTAAAAGACTAAACTGACTTGAAAATGCGAGAAACGTGTCGATCAAGTTCCTGAATGTGTAAACTGTGGTATGGAACATCCAGCTAATTATAAAAAGTGCTTATATCTTGAAGAAATAATACACAAACGTACTAATAATCAAAGTAAAAGTTGAAATCAGATAAGTATAAATAATATTAGTTATGTTATGGCACCCAAACATAAACCTTTAACGAGACCATTTTCTGAAATGTTTACAAATACAAGTTTTCCATCACTTTCTTCCCACATTCCTACTACTAATCAATCTAGTAGACATACTGATAACTCCTCAACCTGAATGTAAATGAAATGTTTCAAATTATCAATGAATTAAAAATACTGTTTTCTGACAATACCGTTAAAAATATAATAAATACGTTACTGAATCTTGCTAAGGATAACCAAAATACTACCTGCGAGAAAGATAAACAGTATTTCAATGCTTTCTAACACTGTACATAAATAGAGATAACATGTATATTAAGTAACGGTAAAAATTATATAAGTTTCTAAGTGATAATATTAATTCTGTTGCATTGCATTATACTGTTTCTCCGACCAGATTCCCTGTAAGTGAACTCCAAACACCATCTATCTATTATTGATATAGCTTTAACTAAAAATATTTAAACCAATTATTTACCATTTACTATAACAGAAACTAATTCTGATCATAATCCAGTTATACTATCTACACCATACAATAGCATACAAAATTACACAAATCCACATTATAATATGAAGTACAATTTTAAAGAGGCAAATTGGAATAAATTTCAATCCCATATAAATGAAAATATTATGATTAATAACACTAAAGAAATTTATGAATCAATCGCGTGCTTAACAAATACCATTCACACAGCGAGATAAATAGGTTTATTCCTAAAGCTAGTATTATAAATTCATTTTCCCTTCCCAATCACAATTAGATCTAATCAAATATGAAAATACAATAAGAAGATTTTGGCAGAAAACTGATAATTCTGAAGCGAAGGTACTATTAAATAAATTAATTAAGGACATAACATATAAAATTAAAGAACACAAAAATAAAATTTGGAGTGATAAACTAAGGAAATCAAATTTAAATCACAATAATATATTCACTAATAAACGTGAAAATATCCCTAATCTACAAAAATAAATTCTTCATATGCTTCATATTCTTCATAGCTGATACTTTTGAAAAAACACACAAGCAAAATGATAATTTACGGAATGCTAACTTTAGTAATCACATGAATAGAACAATCAATTTGATATTTCCAACTTCCAGTAATATAATTTCAAATATTAAATTCACTACTCCTAAAGCAATAAAAACTATTATCAAGAATAGAAAATCTAGGAGCACCCCAGGTCCAGATGGAATATCGAATATTATATTAAAAAATCTTCAGATTTTTGGCAGAAAACCCATTATTGATTTGTCTAATTAGAAATTATTTAAATAATAGAAAGTTTTATGTTAATATATACAATTGTAAATCTACATGTAGAGTCATTACAACAGGTGTGCCTCAAGGTAGTATTTTAGGACCAATTTTATTCTTCATGTATACATATGATATGCCTACAAAGATCAATACGAAATTATTAATGTATGCGGATGATACTGTAATTTTCACTTCGGGCAAATCAGATAAAGCTATCATTAAGAGATTACAAAGTCATTTGAACCAAACCAAATTATAAGATACACAAATAAATGGAAAGTAAAAATAAATATTGACAAAACAGAATCTATATTCTTTACTAAAAAAAGAATTAATCCTACACCCAATATAACCTTGCACCTTAATAATAATATCATACCATGGGGTGGCTCTGTTAAATATTTGGGTATCATCTTCGACAGGAAACTTAATTTCAATGAACACATTAGTAATAAAATAATTAAATAAAAAAACTTAATATACATATTATACCCAGTGGCGTCGGAACCGTGTTGGCTGAGCCCCACCCATCAATCTGAAAATATGGGATTGCCTACATTGTCTTAAAAAAAAAAACAAGCCCAAGGTTTCAAACAAGCACTGACTGTCTAAAAAAAAGCGAGCCCACCCATCAAAAATTTGCTTCCGACGCCACTGATTATACCTGTTTGAGCCTCACAAATTTTATTAATCTATCTCCCTCTACCTATATACTAAACTCCCCCTACTCTTAATAAAATAATTTCCTACCCTAGTCTAGGTACTAAAATAGTTTTTAAGAAATTCATCCTCATTCTGTACGCATAACTTGAACCTTGAACATCAAAGAAATAAACTAGTTGTAAGTGGAATTCTGTCTTAAGGCAATTCAAAATTTGAGCAATTAAAAATAATCAATAATAATCAATAAAAGTTGATCAATGATTTGAAACTTTTAATACAATTTCGAACCATATTGAACCATATTCGAAACATACCGTGTTGAAATAAAAACGTAATTTCTGAAATACATTATAATTAATTAATAATATATATTATTAATTATTAATTAATATATTATTTATTAATATATAATAATTAAATAATACAATAATCAAATAATTCAAAAAAATATTTTAACATTAGCATTTCCCAATAAATTAATTTCAACAAATGAGACTGATTATATTTTAATTAAAATGTGACTATAAATACTTAATTATTTTTTATTTGTCAAATTTTACTTAGAATTTAAAATGTTTACTATAATTTTCATGAAGTACAAAGAAAATGGAAAATGAATAGAATTATATATACTGCGTCTAATATTTATAAGAATTACATAAACTGAATTGCAAAATTGAAATTATTCGTTTAAAAAGTATATTAGAACTATAGTCAGAATTAAAAATAAAATCTGAATTATTTTCGATATACAAAAAATTAAAAAAAAAAAAAAAGTTGAAACAAAATTTTTTTTTCCAAAATCAATTATTTTGTTGAGACAAGCAGAAAGTTCTTTGAATCAATTAAATCGGACGCTTAGTTCTCTCAAAAACTGCCATTTTTTGTACATTTAGCTCCGTATCTTCGAAATGGCTGGACCTGCCTTTGCAAAAAACTAATAACCACTTCTCGCAATCATTACTAATTGAATGTTTTTTAGATCATTCAAATCGGATGCTACGTTCTCTCAAAAACTCGATTTCTATTTTCTGCACTCTTTGCTCTTTATCTCCGTAACTGCTGGACCTGCCTTTGCCAAAAACTAATCAGCACATCTCCTTATTAATAGGAATCGAATGTTTTTTGAACCATTCAAATCAGTTGATCCGTACGCCCAAAAACGTGGGCCGAAAATTGTATCGACGGCCATTACAATAACTTACCCTACGAGAAGTTAAAAATTACATAGGACATTCCGGTAATTTCATTCAATTCAAATATTCTAAAAATCCCAAAATTTGTAAAATTAGCAGATTCAACATTTAACAAAAGTAATAAAATAGATCTTTTAATCGGCGCCGAGACCTTTTGGAATATAATTTGCAAAGGAAACATAAAATTAGGTAAAAATAAACCAGTTCTACAAAATACTGTTCGGACATCTTTTCGTTTTATTATATTGGCCATAGAGGAAACAAACTTCTGGGCAGTAAGCTTTACACGGAATGGTTGCTACCCCTGGTAGAGGGGGTAGCGGAGTGTTTTAAAGGAACTAGTTGTTCACTTCTAAAAAAGTCCGCTTAACAACATGTAACTAACCTATAAACATAAATATATATCTTCTTTCATTAATACTTAGTGACAAATCAGTGATTGTAATTAGAACTGCAACAAATACATAATATACAAATAAATCAGTGTTTAATACAGTCCACAGCTACAAGGGTTAAATTATAACCCAACAACCTAAGTATCGAAGGAGAGTTTTAATAAATTCTATAAATATGCACAAAAATACACTTTGCACATTCGAACCGTATCGTGAATTACAAGCAGTTAATTAAAGTACAATAGTGATAACAAATTTCTAAGTGTTGTGAAGAAGAAACAATCAAACGCGGCAAAATTTTATAACCACGTGGCGGCCAGACCGGAGCAAACAAGCAGGAACAACGAAGACAGAGGACAATTACAACATCTACACATGTATGTGTATTACAAGTAAGTCTGTTTTCATTCCTTTCATAAGTGCTCGGTTGTGTTTAATATAGTATTCAAAATGGCGGAACTTAAAGCGAAGCGTGGATTCATTAAATCCAAATTGACGCGAGAGCAAAATTTTGTAAATTCATTAGATTCCACAATACTAGATGAAAATATAATTATTGAATTAAATACCAGACTCGAAAAGATATTACCAATTATTGATGAATTTGAAACGATACAATATGAAATTGAACTAATTGAGGGCGTATCAGAAAGCGATAGGGAATCTTTCGAAAATGATTATTATAGAACAATAGCTACCCATACACACTAGCGTTCTTTCCTCTAGGAAAACCGTTATTCCTGACGGAAAGGGGATTCCCGAAGGAAAGATTTGTGTGTTAGTGAAGCGTGACATGACGCTCCAGCATTACTAATTTCTTTCGGGGATGTCCCGACGTTCCTGCCCAAGACATAGTTAGTGGGCACGTAGTTTTCGCGCAGGTTATGTAGTCGCGTTGTTCTTTCTTGTTGCGTGGTTGGACACGGGTTATTCTTGTGCAATAATAATATTATTGTTTTTTTGTGAATAATAAATAATATTAATATTAATATGGAGGAAGAATTGAGATTGACTCAAGTAACCGAACTGAACGATGATGATTGTGAAGAGAAAAGTGAAAAAGGTGACATAAGAAATGTCCCAAAAGGGATTTTGAAAGAATTTATTGAGACTTATAGAGCTCATCCAGCTTTGTGGCAGATACAGAATAAAGAACTATACCAAAACCGTAATTTAAAAAATAAAGGCTACTTGGAATTGCTAAAGATTTGGAGAAAGTACGATTCACATGCTGACCACAAAACAGTAAAACAAAAAATTCAATCAATTAGAGGATCCTTCCGCAAAGAATTTAAAAAGGCAAGTATACACTTGTTAATACTCGTAGTTATACATAGATAGCTGTCCCAAAAGGGTGCAAAATAGTAAATAGTTTAATATTATTTAAAGGTCGAAAAGTCAAAGCGATCAGGCAGAGGTGTTGACGAACTTTATAAATCACATTTGTGGTATTTCAAGTTATTGATGTTTTTAGTAGATCATGAACTACCAACCAGTAGTTGTGACAACATCAATGAGTCAACAAATAGCCCATTTCAAGAACCTGTGGAGGAAATAGACGAGCCCAACGAAGGCAATGAAACCAACGAAGTATGTTCATCACAATCATTTTATCATTCATTTTTATTACAAAATTAGATAGGTAATTGAAAAATCTTATTATAAATTTCTACTCATAAACCAATATATTTCTTGATTATGCTTCCCCTTTTGCCACCATTGCATGTTGCCAAGGAACACTACCATCACCGTTGAAGTAATGAAGGTATCTATCGCGGCTGCGTTTTGCTTCCAAAGTCATATTACGAGTTAAATTCTGCAGTCCATAAAAGTCACCAGTATCAGTTCACCAATCCCCATCTTTGCGTAGTTCATGAGAGCTTTTATCTTCCGAGTCCACACTTTTCTGACTGAAATATGATGCACTGTTGCGCCGCAAAAAATTATGCAGAGCACAAATTGCCATTATAACTAATGTTGTGTTTTCCGGTTTCAAGACAATTGCGGTATGAAGCACTCTGAATCGAGAAGCAACAATTCCAAAAACATTCTCAACAACATTTCTAGCCCTGGATAATCGGTAATTAAAAATTCGTTTTTCATAGGTCAATTCCACTTGACTAAATGGCTTCAAAATATGTGAATGCAAGGCAAACGCCTCATCTCCCACAAAAACGAAGTTGAGATGCTCGATGTTATCTACTGTTTGTGGTATATTTAACTGATCGTTGATAAGTTTGTCATAAAACTTAGTGTATTCCAAAATACCACCATCTGAATTTCTTCCATTTTTACCGACATCAGCATAAACAAACTCGTAATTTGCATTTACTAATGCCATCAACACAATGCTATAAAATTTTTTATAATTGTAGTAAAGTGCTCCTGTGTTTGGCGGACATGCGATTCTAATATGTTTGCCATCCATTGCTCCGCCACAGTTAGGAAATTGCCAACGGGTATCAAAATCTTCCGCAATCTTCTTCCATTCTGCTGTAGTAGTAGGAAACTAAAAATAAAGTTATATGTGTTAAAAAAGTAAAAACTTATCTTCGAAGTATGTAACATATAAATATTTTTTAGGGAATAGCACATAATGCAGAGTCAGTGGTTAATACTAATATTAACACCAACAACAAGAGATATAGGAATGCAGACGGTCATAGCCCTGCACAAAACAAAAAAATCTGTGAAGACAGGGAGCGGAAATTATTTCTTGCAAAGTGTACTGAGGCACTAAACTCCAAACCAACAGAAAATGATGCCCTGGGTCAATACATAAGTGCAAAATTGGAAAAAGTCGTAAACCCAGAACAAAAGATGTATGCTGAAGCATTGCTAACTAAAGTACTTAATAAGGCAATAATGGGTCAATTGAATGAATTCGTAGATGTAACCTACAGTAATGTAGGACTTTATCCTTCTAATAATTTTTCTCATGTGTCGCCAGGGTCCTCGGCCCATTCCTCATTAGCGTCTAATTCCTTTCCGTCTCCTTCTCTATCAAACAATTATTCCACAGCGGAATCTACTCCTGCTGAAAATGTTAGCCCTATGGAAGGTTTGCGAGCTTATTTTTCCTCAGCAGGTCGTGAATAACAATTATATAATTTTTTTACGTTTTCTTGTTATAATTAGGATGAGTTTTTTAGTTTATTTGTATTTGTTAAAATAAAGAGAGGACTTTTTGCACAAGGTATTGTACTTACTTTCATATATTCCTTTTGCAGAACTTCATAGATGACTCTACATGTTTCGGGAATTATGCGACCTAATGATTGCGGAGAAATGCCACTACTGAATTTTAAACATTCGTAGCTTCTTCCAGTAGCTAAGAATCTTAACGTTACAATAAGTCGCTCTTCTGCTGGTATACTATCTCTCATTTGAGTATTTTGTTTTTGTATATATGGGCCAACTAATTTCAACAACTTGTCAAACACGTCTGCACTCATCCTTAAGTAATTTTTAAAATCGTCGGGTTCATTTCTTTTTAGTTCATTCAAAAGCTTCATATCGCCGTATTTCGCTCGTTGCAGT